AGAATAGACAAAAAAAAAAAAAGAGAGAGAGAGAGAGAGAGAGAGAGAAAGAGAGAGAGAAATAAAAAATCATAATAAAAATTAGTGCAAAAAAAAAAAAAGAATGAAGCATGGGATGAGGACTGGTAGACAGGAAATAGAAGTGTGAGGGAGGTCTTTGTGTCAAACTAGGTAGGATACAGTGCTATGGTATGTTCTGTATAGGTATGAATGAGCACATGATGATGGAAGTGATTCATCATGTCCCATGATGGCACAGGAAGTTATTCATGAATAGCAAGGCAAAGTGGAAAACTTTGAAGAAGGGTCAAAAAGGCAGGGTGTATATTTGGTATTTGGTAATAAGAGCTGTTGGTCTGCCCTGTCTATGATCATGTCAGCCCACCAGACAAACAGATTCTGTTTAGTTGTCATTTAGTAGAGAAATACAAAGTCACATTGGAATTTTTTGCACCTGTGGTAGGTGGGGTTCCTCATTTCTCCTGAGAGTGTAGGGATTGCAGACCCATAGAGGAGTCAATAGAAATAATATAAATGGCCGGGTGCAGTGTCTCATGCCTGTAATCCTAGCACTTCAGGAGGCTGAGGCAGGCGGATCACTGAGGTTAGGAGTTCAAGACCAACCTTGCTAACGTGGCGAAACCCCATCTCTACTAAAAATACAAAAATTAGCCAGGTGTGGTGGTGCATGCCTGTAATCCCAGCTACTCAGGAGGCTGAGAAAGGAGAATCGCCTGAACCTGGGAGGTGGAGGTTGCAGTGAGCAGAGATCACGCCACTGTACTCTAGCTTGTGGAACGGGAATGACACTCCATCTCAAAAACAAAACAAAACAAGAAATAATATAAATGAATTAGGAAGAAGAGAACTCTGGAAAAAGAGGGTTGGAAATTACCTTGGCCTCAGATTATTGCACAGTTGGACAACACTGTGGCTCTATGGCTCAAGGGAGTGGCTCTGTATGTCTCTGTGGCTCAAGGGAATGGCTGTATGGCTCAGGGGGAGTCCTAGAAGGGATTTCTGTGTTAAGAAGCAGTTATTAGATGAGCTTAGTGGTACCCTCCAATATCATACCACATGAACCTGCAGCAGACTGTCCTACATTGCTGAATTTAAGATTCCTTTAGCATGGGGACTGTGTGTGGTCTATCCTTCTGCCCTCCATTGCATATAGTAGGTACCTGGCAGATGCTTGATGAATGAGTGACTCTGTCTCTAGTTCTGTTCTGGGAAAGAGAAGAGCTGAAGGCCCTATAGCTGCTTTCAGTAATTGATTTAATCATTAGGCTCCAAATGTGAATATTACCAACTCATAAGAATGGTGGTGGTGGCTGGCCACACACGGCTCATGCCTGTAATCCCAGCATTTTGGGAAGTTAAGGAGGGCGGATTGCCTGAGCTCAGGAGTTCACGGCCAGCCTGCGCTACATGGTGAAACCCCATCTCTACTCAATACAAAAAATTAGCCGGGTGTGGTAGCATGCACCTGTAGTCCTAGCTACTGAGGAGGCTGAGGCAGGAGAACTGCTTGAACCCGGGAGTCAGAGTTTGCAGTGAGCTGAGATGGTGCCACTGCACTCCATCCAGCTTCAGCGACAGAGGAAGACTATCTCAAAAAAAAACAAAAAATAGTGGTGGTTGCTTTGGATATATGATCCTCCCCATTCCCAAGCCTGTCTCTGAAGGTAGTTGCAAGGCTGGCACATTCCAGAAGGCCATGATCGTCTTCTCTGATGTTAACTGCCATGATGACTGGTATCTTCCAAACATCTGAGCAACTCTCCATAGCACCCTATAACCCTTTTATCTATGACACTATCTTAGTTCAATCTATAACCAGAATGTCTCCACATTTCATCAGCCTTTCACTATAAATGCATTACATTGACATCAATGCCCACTGAGGCTATATTATCATTATCATCCGTACCTCACTGACTCCCCTCTCTAAATGTTTTAGTGAGCCCCAAGAGGATATCTCGTATGTTCTTAGGGGTTTGGCTGCACCATTGCTGCTCATCTATACCACCTGGAGACAATGCTTGCCCCTGTCTCCTGTAACTTGGCACCTCCACTATTCACCTCTTTTGCTCCAAGATGACCACTTAGGTTTCAATAAAGAAAATATGGGCCAGGTACAGTGGCTCATACCTGTAATCCCAGCACTTTGGGAGGCCAAGCTGGGCAGATCAACTGAGGTCAGGAGTTTGAGGCCAGTCTGGCCAACATGGTGAAACCCTGTCTTTACTAAAAATACAAAAAATTAGCTGGGCATGGTGGCGCACGCCTGTGATCCCAGCTATTTGAGAGGCTGAGGCAGGAGAATCACTTGAACCTGGAAGGCAGAGGTTGCAGTGAGCCAAGATTGTACCACTGCGCTACAGCCTGGGTGACAGAACAAGACTCTGTCTAAAAGAAAAAAAAGAAGCCAGGCGCAGTAGCTCAGGCCTATAATCCCAGCACTTTGGGAGGCTGAGGTGGGCGGATCATGAGGTCAGGAGATCGAGACCATCCTGGCTAACATGGTGAAACCCCATCTCTAGTTAAGAAA